TATGTTGACAGATGCCCAAGTTTATTGTATGACGTCTATGATCTATTTATTTCGACCACCACTTACCGCTAAAGCCATCTATAGGAAAATGGCGGAAGCAAAGTTGTACACCTAATAGTATCTAGAGTTTTCATTGATACCAACATTATCCTCTCTATTTTTTGAGAAAATGTCTTATTATAAAAGGTCAAAAGAACATAGGTCTGTTTTTGATTGCTGTACTTTCTGAACTGATACACACAATGCAGTAAGTTGAAGAAACAAATATATTTTTGTTTGTTTCACTTCATTTTGGATATGGTCAACGCGATATTGCAAACGCTTTGAAGCGTTTTTTAATTGATCAGTTTGTAAAATTCTTTCTTCTAATTGATCTATCAAACGCTTCAAAGCGAGATTTGTGTCGAGATAACGCCCACAGAATGCAGCAATTAAAAATAGAGATATCTCATGTAAGTGAGATTAGAAGATTTTTATTTCATAATTATACAAACACAGGTTTCTCACATCGCATGTTCCAGCATGCTCCAAGGAGCTCTTGCTATAGCTTCTACTCATTTCAACAAGTATGTGTAGAGTGAGTAAAGATTTGTTCGTGTCGCATGCTCCAACATATTATATAATATAATATGCTCCTACCATAGCTCTTACTCATTCCAACGCGCTTGATAGAATGAGTAGGAACTAGGTAGGAGCATGTTGGAGCATGTTGGAGCTTGCGACGCGAACAAATCTTAAATGCTATGGTAGAAGCATTTTAGAGCATACGATGCGAACAAACTTAAATTTTCGATTTCAAAAACAAATTCTCTGCTTTAAAAACATAAATTATCCCTCATCCGATGTTAATAGAATTAGACTTAATAGAATTCGACGCGTTTTTGCACGAAATGAAATCTTAAAAAAAAAATCCCGTCTCTATCCTGTGGACCGAGATATTAATCGTTAAAGTTGACAATTATTCAGGTTAAGAAATCTGTCATCGATGGCATATAGAGGGATGTGAGAAAAAATATTTTCTCTGTTTCAATTACATAAATTCTCCGCTTTAAGAACCAATCTCTACTGAATAGAATTTATTACACTTCAGCATTTACATAGTCAAGAAGAAGGGGACTTGGTTTACATAAATTCCTTATCCACATTCATCCTTTCACACTGTTAGTACCGAACTCGAAAAAATAAATAAAAGATTTTCTTAATATTTTTATTTTCATTTCTTTGAATATCGTAATATATGTTCTTCTATCTTATAATATTTATTACCTACACTTATAATATTTATTATCACAGCCTGACTATTGCATATATACTATACTACAGTACAATAGTACGATTCCTAGCTACAACTATACATAGATATGTCGCAATACAATATAAATTCTTAATATTATGTCACATCTTTTCATTGTGTCTCACGCATTTCTAGATGCAAATTGAACAAATTTCTACTGTAAAAACAAAAATTATATAGAAAAAAATTTGTATTTTTAAAGCGGAGAATTTAAGTTTTTAAAGCAGAGAATTTGTGCAACTCTTCATACCGTCGATGTGACAGATTTCCTAACCTGAATAACTTTAACAATTAATGCAACAATTCGATTCGTGAGGCAGAGCGAAACTTTTTTTATCAGATTCATTCATTTCGTGCAAAAAAAAATCGCATCGAATGAGAATTTTTTCAAAATCGGAAGTGAGGAGACTAATCATGAAAAATAACAATTATACAACAAAGACACAACGGCACTTGTGTCTATTTATACAAATGGAAAATCTATTAGCAAGCATGAAAATATTAGGCCAATATTTTGTATCAATAAATTGTGCGATAAATCTTCGAATGAGTTATAGCCTCGTAAAAATTATTCATTTCTTATATAATTTTGTTTGTTTTCTGATTGCGAATATGACAATACAAAAGTGCTTACTCATAGTGCTTACTCATATTTTGGCTGCTATATTGAAAAAAACATACTAAAACAGAAGTTTTTAACGATTATCTTTGAAATTGTTCATGTTACAAAAAAATTTTAAACAAAAAATGTTTATCATGTTTTCTATAATACAAAAAGGTCCCATACGTAATGAACATATACTCAATACTTTGATATATTTAAAAAACTGATAAACAGGCCATCTCAAAGTTTAAATGATGCACCTTACTTAAATGAATGAAAATTTAAACTCGACAATGAAGCAAGTAAAGTAAGGTCCACCCCATCTTTCCCCTGGGGTGCGTTCCAAAACTTAACTCTGTCCGAGTATCCTTTATCTTTATTTCGGTGACCAAAAGATGAAATGATACTCGAAGAGTTGAATTTTGGAACGCAATCCTGCTAAGGAAAGAAACGATTTGCCAACCTAGGAAATTTTTCTTATAATTTTTATTACGAATTGGAACATTTTTCAGAAATATTCGGAAAGTTTATATCTTCTCTCAGAATTTTTCATACATGTGAATTCTGAAATATTCTGAGATTCTTATCACTTAATTAAAAAAAAATATTTAAAAATTTTTTAGATTTTATAACATTTCATCAGAAGTTATACTTACAAAAAAATCTTAGAAATCTTTTATATTTCATAATTAAAATATACGGAAAATTTTGAGACGGGATGTTGAATTTCTGAAAAAAGATGTAGATTTTCTGAAAAGTGTTTCAATTCGTATAAGAAATGTGAGAAAGTTATAAAATTATATAGACATTCTGAAAAATTATATGAAAAATTCTGAGAAAAATTTTCACCAGGGAAGGAAGATTCACTCCACTCCTCCACCCCCCCACTCTGCTAAGAGTACACAGCTTCTTAATTGTACTGTTGCATATGAATTTCGATTTTCCGTGCAAAGCAATTTCCACTCCACCTCTCTTCCTACCAAGGAACGAACAATTTTCCACGCTTCGTGGAAAGTCGAATCCCATATATAATAGTATAATTATAGAAGTCCTGCGCCTCTTAGCAGTGGGAGAAAAGGGGTGGATCTCCTTTCGCGCGGAAATTGCACGTCCGTAGGCAGAAGGAGGGTGCATTAAAAAATGTTAATTAAAAATAAAAGTCGATTAAATAAAATTTGAATTATTGGACTTTGCTTCACATTGTTGAGTTTAATTTTTCATTCATTTAATAAGACGTATCGTTTAAATTTTGTGTAGTCTTTTTTGTTTTTTACGAGGATGTAGTTCATCTGAAGATTTGAACCAATTATGTTACTATAGGGAATGCAATAAATTGAAATGAAACAAACTATATCCGCAAGCATAATAAGAAACGATAACATTAAAATGGCATTAAAATTATTGAAAAAGAAATTATAATTGATTGAAAAATGATTTTTAGTAATCACTTGAAATTATTTTGATGTTATTTTGATATAATAATATAAATTTGTATAAAAATTAATACAATGTCATGGCTTATTTCGAGCTATTAACAACATGTTAATTATATTAATTTAAAGTTAATTTAATTATAGCTTATGACTTTGTGTTAATTTTTTAAGAAAATATATGAACATTTTTTATTCCATTATAAATTTGTATTCTGTTTGAATATCCAACTTATTGCACTAAGGTATATTCATATCACTTCAGAATTTTCTTTTGAAAAAGAACAGAATTAATATGCAAGGATAGATCAAGATCATACTAATTATGTACCTCCGCAGCAAAAATCAAAGAGTCCCAAGGCACAGGTCAATGCCGTCTTCTTCCGTAGGCTCTATCAACTACTTAAAATCGGTATCCCTGGTGTATTATCACCAGAGTTTGGTTTTCTATTCCTGGTGGCGACCGCCCTAATTGGCAGGACTCTGTGTGACTTATGGCTTATCAACAAGGCTACTTTGTTAGAAACGTATGTGCAGTGTTTTTAATTATTGATGGTTTCAAAAAATTTCATCTATCTAACGCAGAACTTTGTTATCAGGTCAATTGTCAACATGAACCATCTATTATTCAGACGATATTTGCTCCATTTATTTGGTATGGTTCCAATGGTAAGTCGAGTTTTATTGGTACAGTCTACTTGAAGATTGTATATGGCATGGTAATGGAAATCTTTTTATTGCCAGAGAGAGAAAGAGAAATTTTTTAAAAATACTTAATAATGACTACATTCTACAAAAAAAAGCAGCTTCGCAGCTGTTGCAAAGTTCTTTAATATATGATTGGTTTATATTTTCAAGTCCAGTAAGGAATTAATGGTAAGATCAGTTGTGTTAAAGAATTTTACAAATGTTGCAAAGCTACTTTACTAAACGCGTTTAATATGTTCCGTATATTAATTTATTGTATTAATTTAGATAGCGATCGTGAACAACATATTGAAATATGCTTTAAGCGAAATGAAATTAAGATTGCGTACGAATATCACGCGTAATTTAATGGATGATTATCTTAAGTAAGTAACTGATATATATTTCTTTGTTAATTGAACTTTGTTCGGTTTCATTTATAAAACAATAGTCTTATAATTAATCTGATATATTCATTATCAATGCGTTTGTATCTTAGCATAATATTGCAAAATATTTGACCTATTGTTGACAGTCGTACAAGTTTCCGCTTAAATAATTTATTACAATAAACTTTACTTATATCGGAAAGATAAATGAAAATGTTATTAAAAAATTATAATACTTAAAAATTAATTATTGTTTTCGTAGAGGCTTTACCTATTATAAAATGAGTAATCTGGATAGCCGAATCGCGAATCCGGATCAGCTGTTAACTACAGATATCGATAAATTCTGTGAAAGCTGTACAGATCTTTACAGTAATATTGCGAAGCCTCTATTGGACATTGGTCTTTACGTATACAGATTAACAGCTACTATTGGCGGACAGGTATACAACATAAATCTATTTCTACCAATGTAGATTAACTTTAATTTCGATTTAAATTACTCTTCATTTTTTCTCATTCTTAGAAGTAGAATACATTGGTAGAGATGGACATTAGTGGTTAGCATTTTATCACTACAAAGTAATGTTACATTTTTCCAGACGCCACTTTTTATACTCTCGTATTTAGTGATAGCTGGTACCTGCTTGACTCATCTTCGCAAACCTATCGGAACAATGACGGTCAAAGAGCAACGATTAGAAGGAGAATATCGTCATATCAATTCAAGGTTAATCGTTAACTCGGAAGAGATAGCGTTTTATGGAGGAAACAACAGGGAAAAATTGACGCTGTTAACTAGCTTTCATAAACTTGTGAGTGAACTTTGTTTCCGAATATAATGTATATTCTATATATTATACTTATGAATAATATTACTTATTTTTGTATTGTTTTTTATAGGTGACTCATCTTCGTAAATTCTTGGAATTTAAAGCCTTGATGGGCGTTGTAGATAATTATGTTGGAAAATGTAAGAAATGATTTATATTGTGACAAAAACTTAACAACACATGTTCCACTTCATTTTTAATTGCTGCTTTTATTTTCTAATACTAATCGCTATATTTTTTGTCAGATTTTGCCACCATAGTCGGCTTCTACGCAGTGAGCATACCTTTCTTCCAGGAGAATCACTCTGTACTCTCCGGCACGCCCGATCACAGATTCAGATTGTATTACACGTACGGCCGGATGCTGGTGAAATTGGCTGAGGCGATCGGCCGATTGATAGTGGCCGGCAGGGAATTGACGCGTTTGGCGGGATTCACAGCGCGGGTCACTGAGATCAAACTGGTTCTTGACGATTTAAACGCCGGGAAATACGAGCGAACAATGATCTCAGATTACAAAGACAAAGTGATCGGTTATCCTGGTAAAGGCAAAATTGTACCACGCGACAACATTATACGGTTCGACAATGTTCCCCTGATGACGCCGAACGGAGACATACTCATCAAGGAGCTATCCTTTGAAGTGAAATCGGGAATGAATGTACTGATTTGCGGTCCAAATGGTTGCGGCAAGAGCTCTATGTTTAGAATTCTCGGCGAAGTATATGCTTGTTATCTTATCGTTCTAGTTTATTGCTATTGTTTTATAACTTTGTGAACTAATTTTTCATAAACTATATCATAATCTACTTGATTCTTTTTAATAAAATCTTGTTATTAAATTAGTTCTGATATGAAGAATGAATTAAAAATTGTTATTGAATAGTATTTTTTTAGCATATAGTAACAGGTTTATATTTTTTGTTGATTTTAATCAATTCGAATCGTAATGTTTAGCTGTGGCCGATTTGGTCTGGAACTATTACAAAACCACCGCGTGGTAAGCTCTTTTACATTCCGCAACGTCCTTACATGACACTGGGTACATTGAGAGACCAGATCATATATCCTCACACGAAGGAAGAGATGAAAAGACGTGGTAACATTAATGATGAGGACTTGAAAAAGTTTCTAGAGCTGGTACAATTGACTCATCTATTGGACAGGGAGAATCTCGTCAATGAAAAAGAGGGTTGGGACGCAGTGGCTGATTGGATGGACGTCTTATCAGGCGGCGAGAAGCAACGTATAGCAGTGAGTTCTTTTTCCTTTTCTTATGTCTCAAGACTGATATTTATCATTGATTTATATGATTGAGTTATACCAACGAGATAATATTAAAGACTAGTAATGCCGATTCTTGGATCGATGCATCAAGAATCGATTTTTTTATTTCTCGATTCTTTTGGAATCGATCCAATTTTTCAGAGAATCGTATCGACAATTGTCAATTTTTACAAATCATTAATTTTGAAAGGAAGGGCGCACGAAGCGATTATACGCTAATTAATTATTAATTATTCTCAGATAATAATTTAAATGTAAGGCAATAATTTAAATGTGATCACCGCATAAAGAGCGCAATGCAATGATATTTATTAAAAAGTTATGAAGTAATCCGTTTAAGTTCTAAATAATATGATTAAAAAACGACTGTGATTCAAATCAGGGACACATAAAATAAACTTAAGACAGTAATAGTAAGACGTAGCAGTAATTGCATCAACTAATCACAATAGAGAACGTAAAGTAACTCTATTGTGATTGGCCAATTTGCTTACTGCTATGTTTACTGCCTTATATTTTTGTAAATGCTATGAGCTTTACTTAAGTCCACTAACAATATATTTAAATCGATGTTAATACGTATGTATACAAAGAGTACAATGTAATAATTCTAAGAAACCTCGTCTATATACTATAAATATTGTTATATAAGTATTTAAGGATCGATTCCGAAAATCGATCCTTTTTTTTAAGAATCGGCATTACTACTGTCGACCCTGGGCAAATTTTCGTAGGGATAATTATCGGGGATAAATAAGAAAGACGTTACCGACAATGAAAATTTATGATTTTTATCATAGTAAGTATTTCGACAATATATTATTAAATTCGTGATTTTTTTATTATATAAATAAGTATACATTTTGGTATATCTTTTATATTGCCGAAAAATTATAATTTTTTCTCTGCAATTATCATCTCTATTGATAATCAAACTCGAATGACATTAAAATCACAATTTTAAATAAAAATTGAGTATTATTAAATATATGTACATGTCCCCCGAAATTAATAAATTATGAAATTAGTACCGTATTATTAGTTTCTTACTCTTAATCACTTAAATTTTAATAGGCACGCGAATTAGCGTCGACCATAAGCGTCGACCGTTTTTAATGGTACCTCGTCGATGATTATATGAAATATCTTAATATTTTGTTTATACCTTGTACTAATTATCTTATCGATTTGTTTGTTTTTTACCACTACATGAATTGCATTAAAATCTTTCTTTTTTTGTTTCGTTTTCACTATCTGTCAAATATATATTTACTTCATTTTCAGTACAAGTGTACACTAATTCAGTTATAAAGAACAGACCTTTTATTGTATTATAATTATTATTGATGAAGTATTATATAATTAATACTGATAAAGTATTTTTTAATCACTTTTGTTATTTGTAAAGATGGCTCGACTATTTTATCACAAACCGCAATTCGCAATTCTGGACGAGTGCACGAGTGCTGTCAGTGTCGACGTCGAAGATTCTATGTACAGATACTGCAGACAAGAGAACATCACGCTATTCACAGTCTCACATCGTCGTTCCCTTTGGAAGCATCACGAGGTATTATAAATCTATTTATTTTTTTTGCGTTGATCAACAGATGTATTTATGTTTATTGTATTATTAAGTTTTGTAACTTTTATGTTATTTTATCTTTGTTTAATTTTCTATTTATTGCTTTTAGTACTACTTACACATGGATGGCCGCGGAAGCTACGAGTTCAAACCGATCGAGCAAGACACGATAGAATTCGGGTCGTGAATTCTTGCATTTCTGCACACGCGGAAATGCGTTAGTACGCAAGAGATATCTATTTAGTTTTCTTTTTCCTTTTAGTTTACGATTATTCAACAATTCCAACAATTTAATAGACGACATTTTATCTGTTAATCAGCAATTTTTGTAAGTATAAAGTATAAAATATCACAAAACCGATTATTAAGTATTAAATCTATATATAATTGCACAGGATGCCTTGATACAGAATGTACATGTACTGTACAGAATGTATGTATTATACAAATGGAATAGTGATAAACGGCGTTATCGCGATCATTTTCAGCGCTATCATAAATTTTTTCGCGTAGATACATAATCAAATCTGTCATGCACAAAGATATATTGCACAAAAGTATATTATATTTTTCGATTATTATTTTTCTACAAGATAATATATTTTTGATAATGTCGTTGTCGAAGACACATCGAGCTTGGAACGTATGTGATGTTATCATGTATATATGATACTTTTAGATTTTCAGATCCCTTAAGGCATGGTGGAAGTATATTAAGTATACTCGTTTTCAAGACGAATTTCGTACCGTTCTGCGCATAACCAGATATGGCCATTTTAAACATTTGCATCGCGGTAACTTTGAAGTGACGCAAAATAATATTTCGCGAAAATGAGTATGTGTCAAATAAAAACGTGCACAAATAATTTCATAAAAAAAAGATGCAGAAATTTGCATTTCTTTCGAAATATTTCTTTCTAAATTATTATAAATTATAAATTATTTATATTTTATTTATATGTATATTGTCTATATATA